AATTCTTGTTGTCCCTGTGCCTAAACAAATATCCAATCTTGTCAAAGTCCAATCTTGTCCTTTTGCTACTAAATCATGCATGAAAAGAGCAAATATTATTGAATCTTAAGCATTTAAGAAGATCATGATTACTAATATCTTCTGCTATTGCCATCACCATTATATTATCATTATTATTTATTGAAGGCATTAGTCCCTTAAATCTTCAATAATTACATATTTAGTCTCCCAAGGTTGGAAAATTACATATTAGTCCCTCAAATGCTATAGGGTCCTGCAAAATGGTCCATCAAGTTAAATTACATTAGATTGAAGTGAAATATTACATCAAATCTAACAGTTGGAGGCGAAGGGATGCTTTTACTCCTTTATTATGTTCCCAACCCGTTTCTTAATAGGTAATTTAAACCTAAAATCCGCCTAAAAAAATCCAAATGCACTTCTTGTTCTCCGATGGATACAAAATAATCCTAACAGAAAGTTGAGCCTCACAAAATTTTGAAACATCGGAGAGGGGGTAGTTTAGTGTTAGATTTTTAATTGAAATACTAACAGAGGCACCATTTTGCAAGACCATATAGGATTTGGCGGACTAATATGCAATTTTCATGATTTGAGGGATTAATACCAATTATTGAAGATGTAAGGGGCTAATGTATAAAATCCCTTCGTTTGGACTAATATGCAATTGTTGAAGATGTATAGCACTAATGTGCAATTTCCAAACCCGCTAAGCATTAAAAACATTAAAAACACGCGAATCCGCCGACCACCCAAAAAGTCGCAAATTTCCCCATTCTTCGCGATTTTATTACTCCCTCGTCAAAACCCCCCGATTCCAAACCTTGACAAAATCTCCGAAACCCTATAAAATTTGTAACCCACAATGGCGACCCCATCGGTTGCAGAAGAAGCAGCAGCAGCAGCTGCTTTTCGGTAGCGGTGCGCGCGAAGCGAGCGAAACCGATGCAGCGGTTGCTCGAAGATTCAGTAATCAAGTCGATGCAATGATATCGAAGGCTAACGAGGTAAAAGATATTCTCCAATTTTGTGATTAAAAGGGGTTTATTCCCCCCAGATATTGTTGGTTCCCAATTCTTAAGTATTCTAATAATCTCATCAAAACATGTACATTTATATATTTTAAATAAGTACATCAAATCTCATAAGTTGTATCAAATGGGCACCTGATGTTGGAATCCATTGTATTTAATCCATGGTAAGCTTGTCATGGTCGAAAATTTTCATTAAACCCTCATCTTGTTTACAAGTTCTCTATTGTATGAACTTAAAATCTTTAAAACTTGAGATCACAAGATCAAACAACAATATTGAAGGAGAAACATCAAAACCAGAGATAGAAGGATTTGCTTTTGGGTTTAATTGGCTAAGGAAGATGGCCTAAATAGTTATTAGCAATGTTCTAAAATGAGGATTAAGCAGCCACTTAAACGGTTGATCATGTGTGAGCGGGTTGGAACTTGGAACCTGTTCGGTTAGCGAAAAAGCGCTCCATTATGTGGTCATCCTAATAGTCGGGCGCATTTTAAGTAAGCATCCGGATAATTTTTTTTATGCGGACGCTTTTCTTTTAGATCATTTCCAGGTTAAACTCATTTACCGCAAACCTAACCTGACTATTAAAGGAAAAAAATACCTGACCCTAAAGTTTTCCCAAAGTTCCGCTACTCCTCTGTCTATTCTCTCATGTTTGAACCCAGTGGGTGCGACAACTATATCTAACCTTCGTCGACGCTTGCTCCACCTCGTGTCGCTCGTGGAAACTCAATGGAAAATTGTATGACCTCTGATTCTCTCCCTACAAGCTCTCCAACAATCACCTTGAAACTTTGCAACATCCCCTAGAATCTCTCTAGCGAAACATATTAATCGAAGCTTCTAAATATATTTTCTATTTTTCATAAATTTATATATGTTAACATATTGAAAATAATATTTATATATTAAAAATTCAAAAACGCATAATTCGCATCATCTGATTAATCGGCACATAACCCGATTAATCATTAAAGCTCTCCTGGACTGCACACATAAAAAACCCCTGTTTTCAAACATTGGTTATTAGTTAAAAATTTGTAAAAAGATGAGGGTACAATGGGACTTTAATATTGTTAAGATTATTTGTTAAAGATAACGGACTCTAAATGAGGGAACTATTTGATACAAATTTACGAGATTTGGGGGATTTATTTAAATTATATATGTTTTGATGAACTTGTTTATAATGGTTTTTTGGATGCATAGCCCCCAAATTATGATATTTAATTATTTGTTAAATTATTTGCCAAATCTTGATATTTATTGAAATCCCCTAAACCTTAAACTTTGGATTTTCGTCCCTAAAGCTTAACTTCATGATATCTATGGCTGGGATTTTGATCGGGTAAGTCCATTGGTTTAAATATTCCAGATTCGTTTGGACTAATATGCAATTGTTGAAGATGTATAGCACTAATGTGCAATTTCCAAACCCGCTAAGCATTAAAAACATTAAAAACACGCGAATCCGCCGACCACCCAAAAAGTCGCAAATTTCCCCATTCTTCGCGATTTTATTACTCCCTCGTCAAAACCCCCCGATTCCAAACCTTGACAAAATCTCCGAAACCCTATAAAATTTGTAACCCACAATGGCGACCCCATCGGTTGCAGAAGAAGCAGCAGCAGCAGGGCGATGGAGCCGGCAAACACCGATCTTTTCGGTAGCGGTGCGCGCGAAGCGAGCGAAACCGATGCAGCGGTTGCTCGAAGATTCAGTAATCAAGTCGATGCAATGATATCGAAGGCTAACGAGGTAAAAGATATTCTCCAATTTTGTGATTAAAAGGGGTTTATTCCCCCCAGATATTGTTGGTTCCCAATTCTTAAGTATTCTAATAATCTCATCAAAACATGTACATTTATATATTTTAAATAAGTACATCAAATCTCATAAGTTGTATCAAATGGGCACCTGATGTTGGAATCCATTGTATTTAATCCATGGTAAGCTTGTCATGGTCGAAAATTTTCATTAAACCCTCATCTTGTTTACAAGTTCTCTATTGTATGAACTTAAAATCTTTAAAACTTGAGATCACAAGATCAAACAACAATATTGAAGGAGAAACATCAAAACCAGAGATAGAAGGATTTGCTTTTGGGTTTAATTGGCTAAGGAAGATGGCCTAAATAGTTATTAGCAATGTTCTAAAATGAGGATTAAGCAGCCACTTAAACGGTTGATCATGTGTGAGCGGGTTGGAACTTGGAACCTGTTCGGTTAGCGAAAAAGCGCTCCATTATGTGGTCATCCTAATAGTCGGGCGCATTTTAAGTAAGCATCCGGATAATTTTTTTTATGCGGACGCTTTTCTTTTAGATCATTTCCAGGTTAAACTCATTTACCGCAAACCTAACCTGACTATTAAAGGAAAAAAATACCTGACCCTAAAGTTTTCCCAAAGTTCCGCTACTCCTCTGTCTATTCTCTCATGTTTGAACCCAGTGGGTGCGACAACTATATCTAACCTTCGTCGACGCTTGCTCCACCTCGTGTCGCTCGTGGAAACTCAATGGAAAATTGTATGACCTCTGATTCTCTCCCTACAAGCTCTCCAACAATCACCTTGAAACTTTGCAACATCCCCTAGAATCTCTCTAGCGAAACATATTAATCGAAGCTTCTAAATATATTTTCTATTTTTCATAAATTTATATATGTTAACATATTGAAAATAATATTTATATATTAAAAATTCAAAAACGCATAATTCGCATCATCTGATTAATCGGCACATAACCCGATTAATCATTAAAGCTCTCCTGGACTGCACACATAAAAAACCCCTGTTTTCAAACATTGGTTATTAGTTAAAAATTTGTAAAAAGATGAGGGTACAATGGGACTTTAATATTGTTAAGATTATTTGTTAAAGATAACGGACTCTAAATGAGGGAACTATTTGATACAAATTTACGAGATTTGGGGGATTTATTTAAATTATATATGTTTTGATGAACTTGTTTATAATGGTTTTTTGGATGCATAGCCCCCAAATTATGATATTTAATTATTTGTTAAATTATTTGCCAAATCTTGATATTTATTGAAATCCCCTAAACCTTAAACTTTGGATTTTCGTCCCTAAAGCTTAACTTCATGATATCTATGGCTGGGATTTTGATCGGGTAAGTCCATTGGTTTAAATATTCCAGATATAGCCCCCGTATATCAGTTGATGTATCCTTTCATAAGGCTTGCTACAAAACGATATGGTCTCAATATCTTTAACCGATATTTGGCAGTTTTTGGGTGATATATCCCCAGCATTGCCAATATATCAACCGATATGTTGGCTGATATACCCTTTTTACATACTTTGTCACCAAACAATGTAGTTCTGCAAAGTTTCTTTGATGGTTAAAAGTTATAGCCATATGTAGTTCTTTTAGGGAAATTCTATTAGGCTCTTTTCCCTAAGTATAAGTTTTTGCAGTTGGTTAGTAAAATCTTAAATATATATTATTTATATTTTTGTATCCTTAGATATTATTAAGTATGTTTAGATTACATTTAAGAAATTAAATTGTATACACACATTATCCGATATGACGCTCTGATATTTACTACATATCCCCAATATTTTCTTGATACTGTCTGGATTATGACTATCCGATAGTTTCCCGGTATCTAATATTTAAAACTTTGGGTGAGTCTAATGGGGGAAACATTGGAATTGTAACTCTCACTTCAACTGTTTAATACTTAACATCATTTGATTTGGGGGGTGGGGGTATAAACTTTTAAGTTTTTTTTTGTGGGGTGGGGGTGGTGTTAGCAAAAAACCCTATTTTAAAAATACTTAAGATTGGGGGACAAATATCAGAAAAATCCATAACCAAAAGGTTCAATGTTGGGTTTATTTCATTATGAATTTGTGTTCAGTTGGAGCAAAGAGTGAAAGAGCTGACTGATTTCTACACGCATAAGAAGCAACCCAAGAACCTCAAATGGATTTCTTCCTGTTTAAAGGATAAGACTGACGGGGCTCAAAAAGAATCTGGTTGCTCGGAGAGGATGCAAGAGGTTATGTGCCAGTTTGGCACGATTTTGAAGCAGGCAAGATAAGATCTTTGAGTGATTACATACTTTTCAATCTTCTACTTCTTTGTCATATTTATGTTTTCCGCCATCAATAAGAAATTTAAAATTTTCAGCTCTCAGCACACAAATGGGCTGAGCCGTTTCTGGAACCTGTAGATGTTAAAGGTCTTCGCCTCCGTGATTACTATAAGGTAATGATACTTATTTACATCAGCTTTTAGCATTTCATGGTAAACCACACAAGGTTGAATTGTGATACTAAGATATGTAAGAGATATAACATATGTTTTTTTTCTTGTCATGATAAGTTGAGCAATCTGATACGTCCTGCAATTCGTGCATGAGACTTTATAGTTATGCTGTGGCCATTGCTAATCCTAGATAGTGATTACATTTATGATTAATCATTATACCTCCCTGATGATTTTAGGGCCTCTAATACACTGGCTAAGCAAGTTATGTAAGGAAAATTACCAGCATCGTACTGAATTACGAGCCTATCCATGTGAGGTCAGTTACACAGTACGGATAGTTGGAAACCTAATATGTTGGAATAAAACTTATAACTATGCTGTTGCCATTGCTAATCCTAGATAGTGATTACATTTATGATTAGTCATTATACCGCCCTAATGATTTTAGGACCTCTAACTCTAATACACTGGCTAAGCAAGCTACGTAAGGAAAATTACCAGCATCATACTGAATTATGAGCCTATCCATGTGAGGTCAGTTACACAGTACGGATAGTTGAAAACCTAATAATGTTGGAATAAATTTTTATGACTAATTGTTGTCAACCCTTTATGTCCTGGTGTTAGTCTGATTGTCGTCGAGTCAATTATAGCAATAGGGCTACTTCTCATGAAACTAAAATGGTAATTGGCTGGCATAAAGCGACCTTGTTTCTCATTGTTAACCCATGCAACGAAGGGCCATTTTCTGATACATGTCTATTAATGATCTGACAGATGACAACCTACCACGTATTCTATCTAGTTTTTATTTGGCTAAAGTACAGAATAATGTTGTCTACCTCTATTAGACTTTCACATAACTACCCTGTTGAAATTTTTATTGCACCCTGCTACCTCAACTTTAGGTGGCTTGTAACCTGTATACCTTCACAGTTGAGTCCTCAAGAAACATTATGAATCACATGACAAGTTTCCAGTATCTTGATTGTAAAGGATGTTTAATTGAGAGCTTTTGTGACATTAAACTAGTCTTCCAATGCAGGCGATGTGCGCATGATGCGATGTGTGCATGATACGATACACACTTGTGCGTAATAAAATAATTTTGTTAACACCTTAATAATTGATACTAACCAAAAAAATGTGTAAAAATGATCAGAAAAAGTGATAGAAGTGTATGGTAATTCACAGATTGGTGATGTCCTGTGGGAAAATATTTTTCTCACACTACATGTGTTGATCAAACTGTAAATTTGTGGAACATATATGTGGGTGTTCTATGTAGTATGTGATAGGAGAAATTTTTACAACTATAAGCATGTGGTAAAGGATTTTTTTTAAACTATATATAGATACATATTACCTATCTAGTGATCTCATCACATATCTTTTTGTATTACGATGTTTTTTTGTATATCACACCCATTAACAATTATAGATTGTTTTTAATGTAGTATCATTTTGAAACAAATGTAATAAGGAGAGGTATAAAAAGGACGATAAAAATGAACTGTATTAATTACTGAACAGAACCAGAACTTCATAACAAATACGTAGTATCATTTTGAATAAGGAAGCATGTAGTTCAATATTTATAGGCCATGAAATAAAACTTGCCTCAATGTGGTGTTCAACATTATTCAAAAGGATGCCATAGCACACCATCCCCCCTAGACTTGCAATGCGACTTCGCAGGCATCACATCACCCGACCTCCTTCAATTAATCATGACGTACCCTAAAACTCGATAGGTGTTCATTTTCCATTTTATGTAAGGCTTTGCTTTCTAAATTTTTATTTTGCTCTTGCATTTCATTCTTGCGAAGGAGTGTTTCGTGGAAAAACGTGTTTTTCAACAAAATTTGAGGCAAATCTCAATAAATTTTTTTGGAACGGTGCGGTTATGAGGAATTCGGAACATGGGGCTGGGAAGTTATGAAGTAGTGCATGCTTATTTAGGTTTTTTGGATTTACAAAATTTCCCTTTCAATTAGGGCCAATTAATTGGAAATGGTTGAGGAGAATGCTCAAATTATTTTAATTTGTGACTCGCAAAGGGTAGGACCAAAAATATTGACCAAAAGCATGGCTTTTCTTAAATAATAGTAATAATAATAGTAACAGATATAGTATATGAATAACATTCAAATATTAGAAATTAGACTTGGATTTTGTAATTTAGATTTTGCTAGTATACTAGCTTAATGAAATTTATTGCACATACTATGGTTCCTCTAAAAAGTGTTAATATTTTTTGGATCTTACGTTTAGCATGACATGGTTAATTGTAATTCATTTGCCAACTTCTATATAATCATTAGTCTTTTTCGTGTCTTCATGCTAGATTATTAAGAGGCCCATGGATTTCTCTACAATTCAGAAACAGATGGAGGCCAATGTATATAAGAATGCCAGAGAAATATATGCTGATGTCAGATTAGTTTTCTCAAATGCTATGACTTATAACGAGGACAACAAACATGATATTCATGTAATGGCGAAAACACTGCAGCAAAAATTTGAAGAGAAATGGATTCACCTGATACCTAAAGTTGTTGCAGCTGTAAGTCATTTCATCCATTTCTGATTTTAGTTGGCATTCCTTAGCAAGGATCAGTATCTGCTCAAGACTGCCATCTCCTACCAATTCACCTGTTCCCCCTTCCTTGCGCCTTTTTGATCTTATATGTCTGACTGACTTTGAACCTCTGGTTTCTTTGAATATCTTCTTACTTTGTTCAGTAATTAAAAACTGCATTTCTTCCTTGACTATAATACATATCATCTGTTCTTTTTATTTCTTTCCTAGAACAGGAAAAAAGACAAATAGATGAGGAGGCACAGGCCCTGGCAGCTCAAGAGGCTGCTATCGCAAAATTGGCTAGAGATACTAACAATGAGGTTATACATTTTTTTCAGTCTTTTTCATTTTTTTGGTTAAAGTGCTAATTTTTATACCTGCAGAAATTCTAAGTTTGAAGCTGTGTATCTGTGATACCTGGAGAATTTTAGGTCAATTCTCTCCTGTGTACTCAGTATCGTTGTCAAAAGCTGTGTGTCTGTGATATATCTTGGTTGCAATATTCTAAAGGCCCCTCTAGGTCACAAACTGAACCAAGACAAATTAGCTGGTGGTCTAAAGTGGACCTACTTTATCTTGATAATTTAATCTAGTCCTTTATAATGTATTGACACTTACTTTAATGTTTCAGCTTAACCATCTGAATTTGCTTATAGAGGAACTTAGAGAGTCAGTGATGCAGAGATGCAGGTAATCCCAAAAGTAGTAGTAGTAGGGGTAGTAATAATCTGTTTTGTTAGTGCCATCACAGTTATGTTGACTCTAAAATCTGTAAATCATAAATTTTCGTACTGTTTTTCTGATTCATGTTGATTTTGTATGACTCTTCAGCCCCCTTATGTTTGCTGCTTAAAGTAGTTGAACACCAGACTTCCTGCAGCCCATTCTCAGTCAGTATTATAAATGATACTGTTTTAAAATGTGAACGAAAAACATGTTTTAAGTTCTTAAGAAATTTAGTAATTACTGTACTTAACTGTTGAGCTTGGATTTAGGGTCACATAGACAGATTCAAATCCTCACTTAGAGCTCGAAACAAATCGAAAGAGAGATGAGTAATTGGCATTATGAAAAATATTATGTAGTAGATACTGTTGCTAAACTATGGGAAAACAGTACTTTTCTAAGTAAGCCAATTTCTAGCTAATAAGTGTTGGCAACGAGTACTATGTTAAAGAACAGACTGTTCTTCTGTTCTTTATTTGAAATTTTATAATTCACAATGCACCTAAAGAAGAGGAAAAAAGAATTTTTCAATGTATTATGATGTTGTTTATTTTTATTTGATTGAAGTAACATTAGTATCGTTGATTCACAGTAAGCGTGATAGGATAAAAACTCTTATTTTCAGCACTAGCTCAGGTCATGCCATCATCCTTTTTTAGCAAGACTAGTGAAGGTGTTCCACATTAAATCACTATAACACTTCAATCAGAAAATTCATTCATTTAAGTAGTTCCTGCTTGACATTCTACTTCTACTTTTGTTCCTAACTATTCTCGGAAATTAATTCTTACATGCTTGCATGCTCTTTTCCTATCGAGAGGGAGACTACTAACTATGTGCTTTAATTATTCTCTGCGGTTTATTATCTAATAAAATCCTTGTTAACTTGAAGATACAGTTGGAGTTTTTGAGCGTCTCACTGGTAGCCCTGAATAGCTTTTGCATACATAACCTTATTCAGCACAGTACGAGTTTTCTTCATTAAGCATGGATATATTTAATTCTAACACCCTGGAAGAAGGAAACAAAAAAAAGAGAGATTCCATAATAAAGCATGTTGTTAGCTAATGCAAGCCATCTTTTGCCCTTAGATTAATTAATTTTGGAAGTCTGCCTGCTGGTGACTTAACACTCACGAGTAACTGTAAGTTCTGCTTGTAAGTCACTAAGCTTGAAAAATATTTGGTCAGGAAAATGTCTACAGAGGAGAAAAGAAAACTTAGTTCGGGGATTGCCTCTTTATGTCCCGAATATCTTTTCAAGGCATTGGAGCTTATTGCTCAAAGCAATCCAAACTTCCAAGATTCAGCTGAAGAGGTGGACATTGATATTGACGCTCAGGTGATTCACTCTACCTCAATTAAAACTCTTTCGTATTAACAGTATAAGCGCAACCTGAAAATGGAATCCTTACGACATAATCAACTATATTGAATAAGAAAAAAAAATGTGGGTATCCCTCCATTTTTTTCCATCTTAGTCTTGTGAACCCTATGGCAAATTTCATGTTGTATCCCCTCGTAACAGAAGAATAGAGGCACAGAGAAATGATAACAGTTATCATGTGAAGGATAAACATGGTCAAGTAAAGAGTAATTATATTTGTAAAAGAATTTGAATTTGAGCACCCTTGTAGTGATATCAATCTAGAAATAATATTATAAAAATGTTAACAAACTCGTTAAAACAGAAATTTGGTATCAGGATGTGAACGTTGGTATTTATCAGTATCATCAAGACAACAACTATGACTCTAAAATCACTATAAATAAGAAAAAGTACAATTATGAATTATATTTAATAAGAAAAAGTATGTATTCCTCAAATAGGTTTCTTTTAAACATGCTTCTTCAACTTTCACGTTTTATCCCTCCTTTCCGTAACTGCAAAATTGAGGCACAAAGAGAAGTAATAGCAATGGTAAAACAATTCGATCATCCTGATAACTACGTCACTGTTGAAAATTTATAAATAGTGTGATGAAAATGTTAATCGGCTTGTTAAAACAGAAAATTGGTATTAGGATGTAAATCTTAGTCTTTGTCAGTTTTATTAAAACTACACATTATGCCTCTAAAATCAATATTTCCTCATGAAAATTAACCCATGCTAATAAGTTAAGGACTAGACATAAATATCTAGCATTTCCTCTTCAAATACGAAGGTCTATGATTCTATTTCTTTTATGGAGGGTAAGGGGTGAAGTATTTAGAAAAATTGGGGGAATTTTTGAATCAAAGTTGAGGGAAGGGCAAAAGAATATACTTAACATAGTTGCAAACACATTTTACACTATTTAATATTTAAGTAAAACATTCATCAAGAAAATATTTTTGTGTTTTCAATAAAATCAGTGTCTGAGTAACAAGTTCAAGTGCATTCATTATTAAAAAAACATTCCTGGTTGCCTCATGGGGCTCTGCTGGAAGAATCGCTCTATAAGAAAGAAAGGAGTTGCATAGACCATTCTTTACCATATATGTTTTGCAAAATACTCCTCTGATTTTTTATATTTTGCGGAAAACACGTTAGAAGAGAATCATATGTTGATTATGTCACCCATTTTGATATGAATTTACCCTTACTGATGTTGCCATAAGAAAAGCGTGTCTCCAATAGTTTACTAATGTTGAAATAGTCTTTATTGTTGTTTAAGACTGATTACTTCCTGGTACAGAGTGAAATCACACTACGGAGGCTGAAGTTCTTTGTGAAGGGGGCATTGGAGAATCAAGCCAAAAATTCTGCAACCAAAGCCAAAAATCAGTCTGCGGATGCTGATGACATCTCAAATCGCAAGAGGGTGATATGTGATGCTCTGGCCAAAACTGCAAGAAAAAGGAGCAAAAAGCTTACAACAGTATCTTGATCCTGTTTATATTTCCACAAACAAACGGTTTCAATCACCAATAGACAGACTTGTACATATTATATGAAGAACTTTACAATACCTTTTTGAGATTTATCACAAGCTCCCTAGTGGGCACTTTCGCAGTACAAAGGCACTTTTGCTGTTTCGTTTGTAGAAGATTATTAGTGTAGTCCGATGTGCAGTGTATACTTATCGTTTACATCTCTTTTGAAATTGTAACTACAAAAGGGTTGGATCGGTAATCCTCAATGTTCATTTTGTTCTGAGGCATCATAGCCATCTTTTTTCGAACCTTCAATTGAATCTATGGGTGATTCGGTTTATGCCAAACGAAGATGTGAGGTTCCTGTGGCAGTTTCTTTTCCCTATTTGCTGTTGGGTTTCATGGTCGAAGAGCAATGATAGAATCTTTATTGATAAGAATTGTTCAGTTGATGAAATAGTGGTTATCATCTTGCATAATTTGTACTTATGGGCAGGGGCATCATCCAAAAAAGACTTTGAGGTCCCTGTTACATTTGACATGGGTGGCTGCTATAGAGGACATTGCAGTGACTGTCGAGCATTCGGGGAGCGAACGAGGGTCTGGGTTCTTTGTCTCGTGATGTCAGGTTTGTTTTGTGATGTTCGGTGTGTCATTTGGGTGTTGTATCTTGATTAGCTTTGTACTTTTTGTTTGCTCACTTTTAAGGGGCTGGAAATAGAACCAAAAGTTCTCTATTCATTGTTGCTAAAACCGAGAACTTCGAGTTCTACTTGTAGCTGCCTTTCTCTGTATCCTTCTTGTTTTGTGTTATATCTATGAACAGAGCATCGTGCCCTATTTTTACCTCAAAAAAATGAGTCATTTTTTGTCGAAGTTACCTGACAGCAATTCATTTTTACAACAAATGCTCTTTTCGTAGTTGCGATTGTACAAAACTTACACTTCCAGAAGAAACAAGAAACTGCAATGGCAATTACTACTGTTTTCTTTACAACTTGCAAATATCTCTTATACTTAAATTCTTTTGTCTGCAACCTGCACAATTGAGATACACTGGTGTATTACACTGATGAGGTAAACGGGCGATGATCATGAGAAGGCCAACAGATCCCTTCTCTTGTACATGGAAAAGGTGCAGGCTGAGCAATGTATGTTGGATACCGGTCTCCAGGCATCATCACTGATAAATCAGGCGGGCATGAACTTGCTACCTGTCGATATACCGAGCCAATAAGTTCACAATGTGCAGAGAAATCACCAGGAAAATAAGGGTAATTTCCCAAAACTACCATCATTTTGTTTGTTCTGCGCAAGGCTACCGTAAAAATTGTTTATCTGAGAAAACTCATGACTTTGTTTCACCAAGGTACCATAATTGACAGGCAATAAGGGCCAATAATAAGTTATTCCACCAAAATTTTGCTTTTGTGTACTTCATATCTTCTATATAACCCTTGAGAACTCTGTGAGCGAGTTGCTAAGGGAAGTTTAGACTTTATTGCATTCCAATAGTTTCAAGGTATTTGTCTACAGGCTTGTTCCTTATGGTTTCTCGAATAAAAAAAGGTTTATAGTAGTTTTTGGGTTGATTGCGGATGGATCCCTTGATTGAAATTGCTACCCCTGTAATTGGTTTATAGTAGTTTTTTGAGTTGATTGCGGATAGATGCCTTGTACAATGGAAATTGAAATCACTACCACTGTAGTTCTATTGTTGCAGATAGTCCCTGGGTGAAACTTTTGATCAATAAGAGGGTCTATCTGCATCAATAGATTTTCACTCAGGGGTCTATTTGCAACAATAGAACTAAGCCCATAGTACAAGGGGTCTATCAACAATTAACCCTACTCTTTTTTCTTTTTTCCCTTTTTTTTTGGCCAAACCCTGTAAGGACATTAAGTTTTGTGAAATTTGCTATGCCTGTATGTACTTACTGGCTGTGAGCTTCTGATCTTTTCAAGAGCATACATCTGAGCCTGTGCTTGGCCATTCTCAGCAATTAGGAATGAAGTTCTCGGTCTGAAGAGGTGTTCGACAATGGCCATGATGAGGAACATCGATATCAAGATTGCGGTAGCAACGAAACCAAATGAGATTGCATTCATTGATGTTCCGAAATCTTTCCACGTTGCTTCTTCTGTTGTTGTTTCAGCTGGTGCAGGGTTTGAGCTCCAGAATGGTCGTCTATCGCCAAAGCCACTCATAGTTTTCGCTCCTGAGATAAAACAATTTCAACTATCTGGTTGATAAGGATTTCGGGCATCCGCATTTGGTAGCATGAATCTGATCAACAACCACCAAAAAAATGATATCTATGTCGTGTTCGATCAGATATACATGCCTATTTATATGCATATTCGACAGGATATGAACACATACATTTGCAGATTTTTTTTCTTCTGTCTACCTCCATAATTTTGATTGGACAAAGAAAATACTTCTGTTGATTTGCAGACGTGATAATTACCTTTAAAGAGTATCAGCAAGCAGAACAAACTACTCTCAAGTTCAGTATGCTGGGAAACAAAAAAAAAAACAGTGAACATGAAGAAAAATAAAACAAAAAATTTCTTAAAACAACAGGCATAGAGAACATAGATGACTTGCATAATACCTGAAACACTACCTTCAGATACCTGCAGATATATCAAACTCTATCGACATTGTACAATATCAAATTACCAACTTATGCAATGAGATAAACATAGGGGAAAGCTCCACTTCCTCGTAACTGTAACTTAAAATCCTAAGTAAAGATTTCTGAACAGTTGATCCTAGGCTATTATAATCATTGATCCAAGTGAGAGCTAATGACTCTTAGCCAAAACCCCTCAAGTACTTGAGAATCTCCTGCAACTTGAGAGATCCTTATTTAAACTCCCCACTTGTGCATTTTATATGCCAATGTGCATTGCATAAAGATCTCCAGAGTGCGAGATTTCAAATGCATGCTTGCCACCATCACTTGATGAAAAAGGGAAAGCTGACTTGTAAGTTTGAAAAGAAAAAGCTGCAAGAATGTACCTTGTAAAAAAAAATTTCTATTAGTTTCAAATCTAGAAAGAAGAAAAAATATTCGACGAAAAATGCCCGAATGAAGGTTGCTGAACTGTGATACTCAAGAGACCTTTGTTTGAGAGACACAAGTCATGACACAATTTATGCCAAGAAAAGACTCAATAATTGTTGTAGCCAACTGGCAAACACACTTTGCTTCAAAGAGAGAAGTTTATGATAAAGAAAAAAAAGATGGTATTATTATTATTATTATTATTATTATTAAAATAGGTTGATAAGAAGACGTGGCTTTTTCAAAGCTCTAAGTGCATTGAGGGGTTCCATTTATTTATTTTTTTTTCCAATATGATCATAACTAGGCTAGCAAGGGAATGAAAGCCTAGTTAGACAATAAATCTTGTTTACTCTCACACATGATGAATTAATTTCAATTTTTAAGGAAGCTTTATTTCTTAGTTTACTTAATACATTGCAAAAAAAAAAGGTTAGAAAATTTAATCCAAGCATGTAGCAAACCACAATATAAGCAGTCATTCACTTTCTATGATAATGATAGCAAAGACCCTAAACAAAAGGAAAGAGCACAAGGAACCAATCAAAATTGTTATAAAGAAAATGGGAAACATAAGCAAGAACTATCAAATTATACAACAAAAAAGGCCATGTATAGGAATATATTAGTTTACACAAATAAGCAATCAATGCTGAGTCTAAGCAAGGAGACATAGGCACCATGTTGGAGACAAGCTCTAGTGCTTTGCTTTAGAAACATATAATTGTGACCACAAGTCTACAATAATATCATTAAAACTTCTTAAAGGTAATTATTTATTTAAAATCTATAATGAAGATTTGCAAAGAATATTATTTCTCTAATTTAAACTTAATAAAATCTAACCCAAAGTTATGAAAATTCTTTCATTCTGAGTCAAATAGATGCATAGGTCCATCTGTTATAGAGGCTTCAACTAGAATAGCATTAACATTTGGAGGGGGAAAAAATACAAGAATATTTTGGTTCTCTTTTCCCTTTTCACTTTTGCTTGCCACTAACAAGGGTTACGTAACTCAAATTGAAATTTGATAAAAAAATTTCATAGAAATAGTGAATTAATAGCATCAATATTTAGAAATGGCACAAGATTTTTTTTTTTTGGTTTTTTTGCCCTTACTTTTGCTTGCCAATAACAAAATTATGTGAATCCAATTGCAAATTTGGTTAAGATTAGATTTAATACAAATCAATGAATGATGAGGATCAAAAACACGTGAAGGCAAATAGTTGAGAGGGGAGAGGCTATAATTTTTTCGTTGAATAAGGAAAAGTTGATGTCTTGATGGAATAAAAAAAAAAAAGGAATGTACTAACTTTGGAGTGTTCCCAAGTGTCCTCGGAGTGGGGGTCACATGTCTCCCTCTCAAAATACCATGCGGAAAAGCGCTTAAATTTTTTTAAAAGTAAATTAATAAGGGCCTCATGCTTCTTTGGATCGAGGAGAACAAAAAAAAAAAAAAATTAAGATGAACCATTTATCTTATTTATAAATATTTAGGAGATGAAGTTAATCATCTTAGTTCCCTTTAGTTCATCCTATAATAACATAAAATTTGTTATTCTCATATTGGGGTGTAACTAAGAGGAAGAAAACTCTCTTTCCTATCATTTTCTTTCCGCTCCTAGTTTACCTCAACTTCTCTTAACCAGTTAACCTCATTGAAATTTAAACATGTCATTTGCATATTTTATTATTGAGATGGTGAATAGAAAGGTTATATCATTAGATTACACATATCTTTAGTTTAGTATAATTGTTTTTTTAAAGTATGTTTCATTGAGGAATGGGGCTTGTTTGGAAGTTAAAGAACAAGGCATTGATCTTATATATATCATGTTCTATAAGTAATTTAGCATAATTGAAAAGGAAAACTATGCTTTCATTGAGAAAAATGTCTTGATGTTTTCTATCATGTGTTTTATATTGCAACTTAAAAAAGAAAACTAAAAAGTTATGCTATTATTGAGAAAATGCCTTGATGTTATGCATCATGAGTTTTATATGTAATTTAAAAAGAAAAAAAAGAAAAATTGCTTTCATTGAGGGTTGAACGCAAGGCCTCCCGCTTACTAAAACAATTTATGCTATTATTGAGAAAATGCCTTGGTGTTACGTGTCATGAATTTCATATGTAATTCAAAAAGGGGGGGAAATTGCTTTCATTGAGAGTTTCATATGTAATTTAAAAAGAAAAAAATTGCTTTCATTGAGAGTTTCATATGTAATTTAAAAAGAAAAAAATTGCTTTCATTGAGAGTTGAACTCAAGGACTTCTGCTTATTAAAAAGAATTATGCCATTATTGAGAAAACGCCTATCTGTTAAGGGTCATGAAAAATTAAATAAATGAAAATTGCTTTCATTGAGAGTTGAACTCAAGACCTCCCGCTTACTAAACGGGTGCTCTAACCAACTGAGCTATGAAAGCTTCACGAAAGGTTACCATAACTATTTGATATTAATTTAACAACCCAACTGTCAAAAGAAAAGGAATTGTATCATACAAAAATTAACTACAAATCCTATAACTTATATCAATAAAGGAAAAATACCTATTCCTTCATGATTGACATAAAATTCAAGAGTCCTGATAACTACACTACTCATTCAAAAATTATTCTCGCATTACAATATACTAGTGTGCACCCCGTGTAAACCACAACCTCTATTTTTTTCTGCTATACTAATTTTGTATTTAAATACAGTTTTTTGTAAGTGCTACAGTAATATTTTTTAAATACTACAATATCCCATATGAGATACAGTAATAATGCTACAATAATAATTTATTGTAGCATAAATAGTGAATATTAGGAACTCTTCTTTACATATACCTAATTTTAATGTAGATTCTGCTCTCTCGCAGGAATTTGGGAGAGTGTGGTCTAATTAGCATTATTCAAAGTTCAAAACCAAAAATTTTAATGGGTTAACTAATTTAAGGATATGATTTTTCCTACTATTATTATTATTATTATTTAAAATTTTAATGGGTTAATTATTGATGTATGGAATCACACAGTCAAAAGGAAGGGGTTAACTATGTTGACGGAGGTCCTCTAACTCTATAAATGTCTGGACTCTGGGCAAGTTGTACTTCCTTGCACAAGTAACAGATCGTAAGAGGTAGGGTGTGATTCCCCGTTTATTCCTTCGACGATCAAGACAACGGGTGGCTTGTGTGGAGAAGTAAAAGTAACTGTAGAAATTCCTTAAGTTCAAAGAATGGTGGAAAAGCTTACCTTATAATGGAAAATAGTATCCTTTTTTGTAGTAGTAGAAGGAAGGTAGGATGTTAACTTTGGCCGGGCATGGGCTGACGGCCAAGTCAGCTTCATCTTTACAGGTATCGGCTGAGGAGTAGAGGAGAGGTCACTTCGGTTTAATGCAAAGTGATGTGGGGTGTGTGGTGTCGACGTGGTTCGATGTGTCATAAATACTATTGGAGATAAAGAATGATGTCGTCTATAATGTATTTAATGACATTTATGGCGAAGTGATTGGTCATCAGTGCACATGAGGTGCTCGAGGCTCAAGGCGTTTCGTCGCCTGTCTATTCGTCTGGTGGTCGAGAAGTACCTCCTTTCGAGTCGCTCTCGCAGAATGTCGGCCAATGGGTTGCCGAGTGGAGTGTTTGAGTAGTCGACTCGGTCGGGAGACGTCACGCAATGCTTTTCGGATCGTCGACATGTGACGCCATTCGAGTCGTCCTCGCAAGATGTCGACGTGTCGAGTCAACGGAGCTGGGCTTTTGATTATCTTGAGATGTTGACTTGATTATGCATAATATGAGACACTTACCTGCTATTGATTAAAGATTTTTTTATCACTAAAATAGCTATAAATTAACCAATTTAAGGTTATGTTTTTTCTATTATTATTATTATTATTATTATTATTATTATTATTATATTCTGCCTTACTTGAAAGTTTGTAAGCCATGTTTTTTTTTCTGTTCATGTTTTTTTTTATGGAGTCGTTCGGTAGAGTCCAGTAATTTCTTTTATCTTTTGAAGTCAATAAAAATCTCAGACTCCTTCTCAAAGGACCTGGGGATATTCAAAACTAAAACTAGAGTGAAGGCCCATTTTGATGCAGCCTAGTTGCAAGTAGCTTTGGGCCAACCCTATAAGTATTTTTTTATCAATTATTTTTATTCTAATTTTTCTCTCGAGCAACATGTGATGTTAATGAAAAACTAGTGCACAAGTTTTATTTCTTAGCACATAAATTTCTTTATTAAAAATAGTAGCAGGAAACTATGTTCCTCCAAAATAAAACAAAACTCTTCTTTAAAAAAATAAAAATGTGGGGCCATGCAGTTTCATATGGCTTAAACTCCTATATAATTAAATATATAAACGCATATTTTAATGGTCTGGATTATTGAAAATAGATAATTTTTGGACCAATAGGTTATTGAAAAATAATCATTTGTTCTATATGTGAAGGTTTTTTAAAACAATATAAAGATCTTTTTTCTTTCCCTCGTTGTGTAAAGATGTTTGATCCCATCACTGTATGGCCAGTGAACGATGGGTATTGTCCATGGGCCTATTAGAAAAATTTGGACTGGGCTTTACATATACCCAACTTTTCTCTTTTTGCTCAGAATTTCAAAGTATCCAATATCCACTTTTATCCTTAACTAGTAAAGTGCATGTGCGTTGCACGTGGGTATACTTGTTCAGTATTGAAAATTTTAAACGTGGACCGTAAAATGATGAAGTAAATCAATAATTTAGATTTTACCAATATTCATGTAATTAAGTTGGTTTAGATTTTACCAATATTCATGAAATCCACATGAAGAACGTAATAAGAGATTTATGTGCTATGATTCTTAGATAATTAGATTGGCCAATAGCTAGAATACCTGAACTTATAGGGTAGTGAGACAAGAATGAACCAATTCATGTTTCAAATTTAATTACCTTATCAAAGTCTATATTAATCATCAGCATTTAAAGCAGAAACAAAACATACAAATATAGAGGGTCAAATTTACTAAATAGCATATACTCGACGTGGATTAATAGAGTAAAAAATTATAACCCTATGCATGAACAAACT